ATTACTAGAACACATTGGTATTGAAGGAACTAGATACTGTTCCGAAATATCACTTACTCGAACCGTCCTGACCGCGTAGCTCAGTTGGAAGAGCATTGGGCTAGTATTCCAGAGGTCGTAGGTTCGAATCCCACCGTGGCCGGGCATATTTTTCAAGCTCGCCCGGTGTGGATATGCACTCAGAGTAACATCACAAACATATTATTCACCTGAGTATACAACACCAGCACAGAAAAATTCATATTACAAGAACACATTGGTATTGAAGGAACTAGATACTATTCCGAAATATCACTTACTCGAACCGTCCTGACCGCGTAGCTCAGTTGGAAGAGCATTGGGCTAGTATTCCAGAGGTCGTAGGTTCGAACCCCATCGTGGCCGGGCATATTTTTCAAGCTCGCCCGGTGTGGATATGCACTCAGAGTAACATCACAAACATATTATTCACCTGAGTACACAACACCAGCACAGAGAAATTTAACCCGTTGCGTTACCGGCGCGAGAAAAAAATCGCACGTGTAACTGGACCTTTAGTCACGATCACTATACTGCAAATCATTTGAAAATTGTAAAAAATCGGTTTCTAGGAAGAAAATAGTCATCACAATTAACTTTGTATTCTGGCTGGCTTTAATATTTTCTCTTCAGATGGCACTTCAGCTTTGAACATGTAACATAGATTTGTTTGATTAACATCACTGATTTGGAAATACGACGAGCATCTCCCATAAATATGCTGACTTTTTGCTACGAGAACATCACGTCTCAATCTATTAATTTCAATCAACTAATTGATCAGTTAAATAAATAAAATTAGCGACATCTACTGCTTTTGTGGGCGATTATCAACAACAATCTTCCTAACTGCTTCGTACTGCCGTTCTTTCAACTTTAATAATGTCTTTTCTCCCAATTTTCAAAGGGAAACCAACGCTTCGTGGAGCGCTTGTGTATTTTTATTCATATTTACTATAATAAACCATATATTTCGTTGTGACCAATCAGAAGCCAGTTTGATATGGATTTGGCCAGAGCCCCTCGTCGTGCTCGGCAATCTCGTACCCAGAGCAATGCCTGTGCGCGGGCTAGGATGGCATTGGCTTTGGGGAAATTGACAACCGGAACCCCTAAATTTAGGGGTTCCGGTTCTTTGTCGGCATGCACGATTGATAAACGTTAAACCAATCACAGCACAGGAAAAATTCAATTCCCCCAGAGCCAATGCCATCCTAGCCCGTGCACAGGCATTGCTCTGGGTACGAGATTGCGTGCTCGGTTGTGCTCGGTCGAACGCAATACGAGATTGGGTCGAACGCGCGTAAGAAGGGCTCTGGGTACGAGAATGGGGCAGATCACAATCTCGTTCCCCGAGCTTGCGATCCTCGGGAAGGAACGCGAGGCTCTGGGATAATCCGTTTCAGGGAGGAATCTGATTGGCCGTTGAAATGGAATGCGTACGGCAATCTTAGCCAGAATTCCTGGCTTCCGGCAACGGATTATCCCAGAGCCTCGCGTTCCTTCCCGAGGATCGCAGGCTCGGGGAACGAGATTGGGCAGATCACTGAAGCATGAATTTAACAGAGTCCGCTATATTCCACCTAACATGACGTACTGGAAAATATTACTGAATTTTAGGCTCTCACAGAGTCTCTGTGATTTAAATTATTTTGGATTTCTTCATTTTTTTCTTTCTTTGGCGTTGAGATTTTAAACGAAAATCGAAAGACAATGGCAACATTTTCAAGGTACAACGAAGATCGCCCGTACGAGGTATGTATTTTACTATTTAGAATTCGATTCACGTACGTCGTACGAGTCGGGAAAAACTGTAAAAGTTCAATATTTTTAATCATCACAGGTTGCAAATGTCCCTGCAGAGTTTGATAGTACTCATGACCTGGATATGGACAAAAAGTCGTCACTGGATGAACATATTTCAGAGGTATTTTAATGAATTTTGAAGAAGAGTCTAAGACTGCTGTTCAAGTTGTGTTCACTGTTCAATAGAACAAAGTGTAAAATGCATCCTTTCGACCTTTGTTTTAAATATATAAACCCCTCTTCCTTGTTTACAAATTTAAAGTGCATTTTGGTGTCTCTTTCCAATTTGCATTGTAAATCTACACAATCTACTGCATACCATTCCACAGTTTTATATATGAACTGGATACACATTGACATTGAGTAATGAGTATAAATCTCAGAACTGAGCTTACCTGCATGTAAGATAAGGCCTATGGAATTAAGGTATCAGTTTACATTCACCCAAAATTTCAAAAGTTGATGCAGCTTTTTTTCATTAATTGTTGTTCGTTATTTTAAAGGTGCCTAATTTGACATGTTTTGCATGAAAATTCAACAAACGTTAAAGTCTGTTGTACGTATTAAGCTATGTTTTGAAAGTATTAACACAGACTGTATAATTCTTGCAAATTTCAACAGAATATAATTTTATAAAGCCCTTTGTATAAAAATAAGACAAATAATGAAAAATAATCAAATACTAAAAATTTTCATGCAGGTTCTGATGCGGGTGGGTGATGGTACACCTCAATTCCATAGGCCTAATGATGAGACTATAGGGTCTATAAATGTTAGAGTGTAGATTGATAGAGTGACTATTACCAGACTTGAATGTTTGGGAAATACACAGCTGTTATGCTGATATGTACAGTATAAATATGCAGCTATTATGGTAAACATAGAGAAATCAATTTACTGTGCGCACCCAAAATCTCAGTTGTGTAACTGACATCACTGCATGCACTCTAGAAAAATTGTATCGCTTCATCAGAATCAATTAAGATTATTGTGAACAGTTTTAATAGTTGGTAATTAGCAGATAATTAAGGGGTGGACCATTACAAAAGTGATGGGGGCTGGAATTTTCAGCTTGCACAGATTTTTTTGCCATCTGTTTGTGCTGGAATGTGTATTCTTCTTTGCTTTCCCTCTTTGCTTTGTTTTTTATTTTCCTTTTTGAAAATTTTTAACCCCCCCCCCCCCCCCC